ACAATGGGGCTGGGCTCGGCTCCCAGCTGCAGGCAAGGGCTAGGCCGGGCAGGGGCTGGCGCCCGCCTGGGGCACAAGAGGAGTCAGGCGGGAATTTGGTCCCGGTCTGAGCCCCTTCCTGGCGGGCGTCCAAGCACAAAGCCTTTGTGACCCCCCCGCCCCAGGTTGGCCAAGGTCAGATCTCCGGGCTCCCATAACCCCAGGCTCTTGGGTGCCGACAGACCTCAGCCTGCTCCCTCACCCCGAGTCCCAGGTCCTCAAGCTGCCCTCCCCTCGCCCCAGCCTGGACCCGCGTCTCCCCCTTCAGCACTTCCCCTCGGCTTTTCTCCTCACTGCCTCTTGTGCCTCTCTCCCGGCCTCCCCTGCACTAGGAAGACCCGTTTCCAGGAGGCCATAGCCCAGGCTCCCCGTCTGCTCCCACAACACTGGGAAGCTCACTTATTGCCCACGGAGTTCCTAGGAATAGCAGCCGCCCGCCCTCCTTTGCCGCGCCATTCACTACAGGACCAGCGTGTTTTCACTCTCGGAGCAGAGAATTTGCTGTGCCCAGTAGCCCCCTCACGTCTGAAGCACCATGAGTTGTTGTAGTCCTAGGTCAACTGACTAGGACTTTGGAGCAGCTTTGGGAATGCAGATCCCTCAACTTCTTGAGAGTAGCACCTGCCTCATATCACTGAATGCTCCCCCAGCCCCAGCTGGTGTAGGGAGCTGGGTGGCACACACCAATAGGCAGTTCCCACCTTTTCAGAGTGTAGATGAACTTAAAACACAAGCAGTCCAATAGAAGTGCCTCGAAAGACATCAGTTGTCTCTTCAGATTCCCTTCGCCTGAGAACTGCTACCAAAGCCACAAGGAGAGTCATCCCAGAACTGTAGATCTGTCAGTCATTTGGTCAGTGGTGAGGATCTGCTTGCACCCTGGCTTATTCAGTCTACAGCTGCTGAAGCCCTTGTCCTCCACCTTAAGAAATAGCTTCCTAACTTATAGCGGACAATAGACTCATTGGACCTGAGCTCATGTAGCCAGTTACACTTGGGTGTCTGGCCCTCAAACTTCACTTACAAATTCAGTATGTCCTTCCTGCCAGCATTTGGATTAGTGGGTCACTAGATTATCTTCAAGTTGGTTTCTCAGTCCTACAAAGTATTGGGTAGAAACGCGATAGAACGTCTAGATAAAATGGTGGTAAGAGTATCAGTGCTTACTTGCAGGTGGTCTCTACTGGTGCTTCTGGTGACATCAGTGGTATAGGACAAGGCATTTTACTGGGGCAGGCCAGTGTAGCATCATCCCTCTATATTCTCTGCCTGTGACCATATTACCTAACATGTACTTCCCTATTCCATATATGTTTCACAGATCCCAAATCTCTCATCACCAAAGCTAGGTTGCAAGATAACTGATGTAAATCATAAGACTCTTGATTTTAAACTGCTGGAAAATGCTGCTTCCCTATGGCTGTGGACATTACATAGTTCTAAACAAAGAGGTGAGTATAGAACCAGCAGAATGCCATTGAGATAATCTTAGAAACCAGACCTTTCTCTATACATTCGCATTTTAAATGCCATACATACGCAATCATATACGTTCAGCTGGGGGGGGGGGGTTGTGTGTGTAATGTGAGTATACAACAGGATTTGCCTTAGTTGTGTGCCTCAGCACTGAATATAATGAGAATGTCTTTAGAAAAATTGCTTCTTGTAAGAGATGCTTTGAAGCACAAGTAAAAGCAGCTGACCTTGGATGAATGAGACTATCTCTATTGTGCCTTGGAAACTTGCACAATACATTTATGTAAGCAACTAGAGGATAATGGAACCAGGAACAATAAGCAGTAGGAGTTTATAAAGAACAAATCACCCAGAGAAACCAGATCACTTTTTTGTGATAAGTACAAAATTAGCAGATGAAGGGAACACAACTGATGATAGCTCTTAAAAGTCTAGCTCCAACACAGCAGCTCACAAAGTCTTGTACAATGACCCTTTCATCACAGATTTGCAGCAGGGCTTGGGCCTCAGACCTTGAGTACTAAAAGCAGAGGGCTCTACTTCTTGAACTAAAGGAGGATCTCCATTAGGAGGTAGCAAGCAGTAACAGGCTCTCATGTGGACTAGGCACTATAGGGAACACACAGCACTTTGTACTAGAGGCTTATATATACTTGAAAATAATGATAAGCATTGGCTCAGGTAAGGGAGAAATCAGACTGAAACTTAGCTGGAGTATCTTTGAAAAAAGGTAGGGACACAGCAACAGGGCAGGGGTGAAGTAGGGAGCTACAGAGTTTAGTTGTAGTAGGAGGCTTATTTTTAGTCTCTCAATTATCTGTTCTAAAGAGCAGGCTGTATGGATTATGAGCAATTTGGGAAAGGGACCACCTCTTAACTGCACTTGTGATCAGCCCCCTAACACAACGGGGTCAGGGGGGTTCTGAATCCCTGACTGAAGTAGCTAGACATTATCTGCATTTAAAAACAGTTCTCCAGGGTCTCCATAAATAGTATAGCAAGTTTGGAGTGTTTTCATGACAGAGAAAGAATACAGATAGGACAAGACCTACTGGCAAGAAATCAGCTGAGATTCAACCAAGTAAAATGCAGTGTAATAGGGCTCCTTTGCTTTCTGATATATGCTCTGGTGTGTGTATGTATATAACCTCTCTGTGCCCTCTACTGGCTAAGTGTCACACACCTGTTTGTGTAAAAAGCTGCAACTACTGTGTGAGCTATTGGAATTGCTCTTGTTTAGTTCACTGGGTGAAAATCTGCATTTTTGAGCCAAGAGTCATGAATGCAAATACTTGGCTGCATGTATATGGCTGGCTGACAATTGCAAGGTTTGTTTCAAGCCCAAAGATAGCTAGGGAGACAGACATTATAGAAACCTGCATCACTTATAATAGTAATGAGTCCAACAGGGTCTTATAAAAATGGAATAGGCTCCTTATAGACACCACTCTAAAAATGTAATGGAGAAAGATGACATTGCCACAGAATTTCTAAATAGTCATAGAGAAGCTAAGAGGTAATGATATATCTGCTAGGGAATTCAGTAGGTTGGCTTCACAGTTCTGTACTGGCAGAAAACATGGTAGGGTGGCACCTTAGAAACTAAACAGGTCAGAGAGGAAGAGAGCAAGGGTATTAAATAGAAAAGAATTAAAAGTAATCTAAATACATAGGATATGGAAGGAGGAAGGAATGGATGGGGGTGGTGTTATGGCCGAGAAAGACAAAAGTAGGTTGAAGACATCAAAAGGGATCAATATAGCGATCAGCCTACTGAGGAACAGAGGAGTTCTACTGGGATCCTCTCTCCATTGTATTCTACAGAGCATCATGCAAGGAATGCATTTGCTTGGAGGAAAGGGGGCAATCAACCACCTCACTTAGAGTGCAGGATGACTAACTCCTCCAGCTGATATCACAGTCCCCACCAGCCCTGGCACTTGCCCTACCCTTTGAGCACTTATGGCTTCCTTCTTCTGGGGTGGGTGGGAAGGGGACATCCCCATACTCCCCCAACTCTGTCACACACACACACTGTACCTATGCCAGGCTTCTCAAAACTACATGATAAAAATCTCTCTGTTCCAAGCCTATTCTGCAGACAGCTGCTACAAAGCATTGCAGCACAACATGGCACAGCTCCATTTGGGTTATCTTGCCCTCCACACTCGCCTGCTGTGGTGCCTGGGTATTTGCTGAGGCCTACAAATGGACTTTGCAAGGTCAGTTTGTGTAACTGCAGGGGTTCAATTAATGTCTGCTTACCTGTGTTACTAACAGTGCTGATCGTTGAAGCTTAGCAGTCCCAAATCTGAGTGTGAACTATTTGCTTTTAGTACTGTATTCATCTGGGACTTTGTAACTACTCTGATCCATTTCCCTTCTGTTAAGAGTCAATTCCATTTCTGGACTAGCAAAGAACATATTCCAGAGGGAATATCTACATTTATAGCCACTACTTTGTTTTTACCTTGACTGTTCTTCTCATAAAAATATTCCCCCATGAACACATTTCAGGCTGATCTTCCTTTAAAGGGAAAAATTCCCCACCAAGATGCTTTTGTGAGACCCTGGCAGGGGTCTCATTGTTGTATCAATGGTGTGTGCTCCCCCTGCTGGCTCTGCAGCAGCAAGGTAGACAGGTTTCTCAACCCACTGATGCCAGGAGTGAAGCCAGTACACTAACCTGTTGAGGGAGCTGCAGTTAGTTAATGCTGAACAAATGGTGTGTTTGTTGCCATGTCATGCAAAAGGCAGGAGGGCAAAGATACAAAGTACTTTATCCACCTCTGAAAGGGAAGGGGTAATCCAAGAACAAAGCCTTCAGTTCCCAACAGGCCAGACTCCCATTTTCATGGTCAGCTGATCAGTTTAAAGAAGGGAAGGAGGAAGTCAGTCTCAGGAAGACAGCAGACGAGTATTCAATGTAATGTATGTGCCAAATGTAGAAGCTAGCTGTGATAAAGAGAGGAAGATAGTAATAGAATATGCCCCTGCATTTATTAGGTATCCAAGTGGTAGCCATACTGGTCTACAGGCAAAAAGAATCAGAACTCATGGTATAGGTGATATCTTTTTTTTTTTTTTTTTTAGACCAACTAGATTTTTGCAAATAAAGAAATTGTAAAAACCTAGTTGGTCTAATAAAAGATATCACCTCTCCCTGCATTTATTAAACATTCTTCATCCTGATATAAGCCAACGAGCATCATAAAC